CTCTCTCTAAGGCAAAAAATTTTCAATTTTTGTGTCGTCTAAATATAAAAGTGTGGTAAGGCAGAAATGGCTGGAGATTTTGAAGATATGACAAAGATATACGTTAACACATCAGCGAGTTTTGGCGCGTGGGATTTAACTGTAACCATGCTCATGTAAAATTTTAGCATCATGCATAGAATTTTGTCTTTAAATTTCGAAAACAAAAGTATGAATCTTATTATTGATAACTATTTTGCAGGTAACTATGATTTCACAATTTATATGAGTTATTTACGTGCTTCATATGATATTCGTATGATATTACGATTTCTCTAAATTAAATCCAATGACAAGCTGTTACGTTTTATTTTATAACCAAAGGAGTGGCTACCACCTTTCAATTTAATATCTTAGACGAAAAGAAATGTTGATTTTCAATATTATCACCTTCTTATTTCTGTTGTAGACGTGCAAACCATCATATATGATATAATATATCAGGAGTTGTTTTGGTAACAAGAGCTTGTGAAATGAATCATGAAAAAAATGACTTGACGAATTTTTAGTTTTTTACCAAAGGACAGAGACAATGTTATTATTGAGATATATGAATCAAGAATGTCTCAAGCGTGGAGAGAGAATAAAAAAAGTTCACTTTCTTCCTAACACAGGACGAGTTATATCTATAAAAACTACAATGCATAAGCTAATCCAACTTTTTCTATAATATATACATAAAAAAGATTATCAAATGTGACATTTTTATATCTTTTCCAAACTTCACTCACATACTCTATATACATTACTCACAAGCTAATTTTCAGACCGTTTACAACAACTGATGAAAATCCAATTAATTTTTTTTACAAGGTCTCTTTCTTTCTCCTCTTCGGGTTTTAACTGAGGTCGTCTCTGGAGTTTAAAGACAATTCAATCTCTTCGAGTGATCGACCCTTTGTCTCCACCGTGAAGCGGTATGAGAACGCCGCTGCCATTAATGATACGCCGCCAAAGCCGGCATAGACCTGTCCAACTCCAAATTTCTCCACCAGATCCAAGAAGAACAAACCAACAAAGAAGTTGCAGACCTGAAGTTGCAGGTCCCAACTTTATATTTGTGTTTCATTATAGTTAAAGGTTTCAAAATGGTTTACAGGAAAACGTACCCAGTGTACAGAGAAGCTGAAACTCATTATTTTCCCACGCGTTTTGCTGCTGCTTAGCTCAGGGATTATGAGACCAGTCACAGGACCAGCTCCAATTGCAAAACTGAATATATATCTGTAACAGGACAAAGCAGTTATGTCTTTTTAGGTACAATGTGATTGATCTAGAGCTGAGAAAAGGAGACTAGTGATTGATGGGCTTATAGCTTCTTACATGAGTGTTCCAAGTACTGACAAAGTCTGGCTCAGATCTTCATCCAAGGGGAAACCAACAGAACAACAAATAAGAAACATAGAAACCGCCTGCGAAACCAAAGGAATTCAATCAGGATAAGCTAAATCAGTGGGAAAAACAAGAGTTTATGCGATTAACAAAAGATATTTACCATTCCCAAGTAGCTACCAATAAGAAGCTTCTTTCTTCCTTGCTTATCAATCAAATAAGATGCACACATAGCACCTATAACAATAATACCCAACCAGTCAGAAAAGGGACATTTATTTGGAAGCAGTAGAAAAGAAACCATAATCCCAATGTCAAAGTTGATATAAGTGAGAATTTGAGCACCTGCAAAATTTGTGACTCCGACATATAGACTTGCTTGAGCACCACTCGTGATTCCAACGTTTTGGAACGTTAAAGATGAGAAATAAAGAACACCATTTATGCCCGCGAATTGCTGAAGGAGAAAAAGGGTGCCCCCAATGAATGCAACTGCAACCATAATAACACCAAAAGCATAAAATTTAGCAACACAGTGTCGTCATGCACGAAGTTGTATATTCTCAGTTTCTGGTATAATCTGAGAGATTTAAAACTACTAAAAGCCACCTTGACACAACCTCGTGAATGCGGTCTATCGAGAAGTTCCAACCATCTACTATCTAAGTCAGAGCCATTATTCTTCATAACCGACTGAAAATCTTCTACAGCTTTCTCGACTTCAGACTCCCCCCAGATGTTTTTGATTACTACTTTGGCATCATCCAGTTGTCCAATCTAAATAAGTATCATGAGACATGATTTCAACATGGAAAAAAAACGCTTACTCATAATGAAGAGGCGACATGTACCTTACAAAGCCAACGGGGACTCTCTACTGCAAATTGCATACCGAATGCAAGAAGAAAACCAGGCACACTCGCTACATAGAACATTGTCCTCCACCTAAACCAGTGGTATGTATCAGGTTTCTGAAGTTATGTATGAGAGAATGAGGTTGCCGAACAGGGTTAAATGTGTGGTGGTTAAACAATTTCTAGGTAGCTAAATGAAGCTCACCAATGAGGGTCATTTTCTGCAGGAATTGCTAAGAGAAGAGAAAAGATAATCCCGAGACAAGTGCCAATTTGACATAAAGTTCCAAGAGAACCCCTGTATTTTGTCGGAGCAACCTGCAGAATAAAAATGGATGGCTCAAAATGACAAGGATAAAGACTCTTCCGATGAACATCCGAGATGCAAAATATGCTAATCAAAAGAATGGTAACCGACAGCTTATCACACTGAGAGTAAGTAAGATCAATTTTAAGAAATGTTCTCAATCTCACAGCACAGGAAGCTAAATAGTTAAACATGGCGTTAAAAAGGAATTACACATTTGATTACCTCTGAAATATAAATAGGAACGAGAACTGTGTTCACGCCAATACCAAGACCAACAAGAAATCTTCCACATAATATCTCATCCAAGGAGTGAGCTTGTGCACTGAGAAAATAAGACAAGTTTTGTTATTTTGCATCATCCATAAAATCCAGTACAACTTAAAACATCAAGGAGTTGTTATTAACATTAACAAATCAAGTAACACCATTAAAACAAAATATTACCTCACAAGGGCACCAAGAATTAGTGGTATTGTGACAATTTGAAAGGTACGCCTGCAGCCAAGCTTGYCAACTAGTGACCCGGAGCTTATGCTTCCGATAAATGCACCAGCAATAAATATGCTCACAACAAGACCCTCAAGAATAGAATTGCCTTCAAAGCCAAGTTCTCGCGCAATAGAGACGATAGGGCCATTCATCACTCTGCAAGAACCAACTGATATTAGTACTTACTAAGCTTCGGATAAACTAATCCAGATAATCGATATCAAACTTGACCAACTCATATTTTTCTCACTAGAAGATAATCACTCAACAAGATGGGATCAACTCAACACTGTTACAGAAACTGAGATCGACCTCCTGGTATAGAAATCATTCATACTCGGTCTTTGGAACAAAAAAACATGGATGGTTTCTATAAAGAAAGACACTAATTTGAAGACTAAAATTGCAAGAGGATCGATTTTGGCAACAGTGAATGGCCTCAGTGAATAATGATATTACCCAATGTGATAACCAAAGAGAAAATTGGCCATAGAAGCTACTGATACATGAGGAAAAGCCGATAACCATCCCAAATCAGCGGAAAATTTCTCCATCTTCTCGTCGGAAGGATGCTCCGGCGAGAGTGGCGATTTCTCGTGATCTCCATCTGCTGGTTTTTTTCAAAATTTGAACAAATTTAGTATCTATATAGATAAAAATGAGACTGGTAAGTCGATGAAGCTGAGAAAAAGTGAACCTAGTTTCTTCGTCTTCAATGGCGTAACCCGCTTCTTCCTCGCCGGAGACTGGAAGAAGCGAGAAAACGGCGAGGCTTTGGGAGAGTGGGCGAGTCGGGTCGGGTAAGGATAGCTCAATCGGGTCAGAGCATCGGGTCGAGGTAGAAGCACGTCGGTTGTAGAAGCCACCCACATCGGAGCTTAAACGGAAGAGCGACGAAACCTCGGCGAAGCGAATAAAAGTGATGATGAGAAGGCGACCAAAAATTGAAAATCTGATCAAAATGTAAAGGGAAAGACACGTGCCTATCACGTGCTCAAATAAGTAAAATAAAACAGAGTACTTTTATAGAACAGAGTAGCTATATTATTACCAACTCTGTTTTCACAAACTTATTGATATGATTACACACATATCATTACACATCATAAAACCAAATGCAAAATCAATTCATTTCAAAGGCGAAACAACTTGAAGAACAAGACCGGTTTGTATGAAGCAACGATCACCAGTCCAAACAAGACTCCAGGACCATATCCAATCGCCGCTGCTTTCCAGTTCAACACTGGTTCTTTCTTTGGTAGTTTTGGATGTTGTGTTGATGGTACATTTTTTCCCTTGAAGCAACTCTCTCGAAGAGGAAGACCACAAAGATTAATATTCCCTTCAAAAGATGATTTAGGTTGTCCTCCAAACTGCGTACACTGCGGTATCTGTCCACTGATTTTGTTATGTGAAATGTCAATGTACTCCAAGAACGAGAGGGTTGCTAGCTCTTGTGGAATTTTCCCGGAAAGTTGGTTTCGAGATAGGTCTAGTGACTCGAGCTTCGTGAGTTTCGCCAAAGAAGATGGAATATGGCCGTTGAAACCATTGTTTGATAGGTTGAGCACGATCAGCGACTTCAAAAGACCTATCGATTCTGGAATCTGTCCTTGGAGTTTGTTTCCAGAGAAATCAATGGCTGTGTAGGTCACTAGGATCTTTTCCAGCTCCATGTTAAGTCCTTTGTTTCTCAAATACATGGAAGGGTTATATTCGTAGTTGTATGTATCTCCCATGTACATCTCATCCTCTTCGGTAATACTGACTTGTCGTGTACTCCAATTGACAAAGTAATTTGGTGGTAGACTTCCGTTGAAGTTGTTACGCGATATGTCGATTATCCGCAGTTCTGGAAATGATAGAGGTTGCTGAGGAGAATAGATTGGACCGTGGAATCTGTTTGATCGTAGGACAATGACTTTTAGTCTCGGTAGATCCTTGAGCCAAAACGGAAATGTGTCACTGATTCTGTTTCCCTCCATGTTAAGAATCTCAAGGTGTTTGCATTTTGCAAGAGAACTTGGAAGCTTCCCTGTGATTTGATTGTGGCCAACGTCAAGTGTTACTAGTGAGCCATTATTGTCGAAAATGTCGGGAAGACTCCCGATGAGATTGTTGTTACGGAGATTCAAATCTTCGACTGATTTACTCAAGCATCCGGGGATCGAACCACTGAAATTGTTGTCAGATAGATCAAGGACACCTAGAGAGCTTTGATTGCACAATGACACAGGTATTTCTCCTGAGAAATTGTTATTTGATGCAAACATGAACAACAATCTTGGTGGAATAATAGGAAGAGATCCTCGAAAAGCGTTTGACCTCAAATCTAACGAGCCAAGCGACGAATTAAGGAGCATTTTCGGCGAGCCTTCAAAACCAGTTAAGGAGTTGTGAGAGAGAATTAGTCCACGCAAATAAGGCAGATTCCACAACCACTCAGGCACTTGTCCTTTGAGTCTATTGTGTGAAATGTACAACACATCCAAATTCTTCAGGTTTTTAATAAATGTCGGAAACTCGTTGATGCTGCAGTTATACAATACTAGTTGTCTCAAATTTGGTGAATCAGTAGCAAGCCTTGATATACTATTTCCGGAAAGATGCATAGACTCTAGAGACTTGAATCCCAAGGAAACGAAGTTGATTGGATAGGTAGAGTTCTGAAAAGATAGGTCAAAATGTTTGAGGTTGGATAATTTTGAGATAGGCTCTAGGATTTCACCACTGAAAAAATTATAGCTAAGGTCTAACCATTCAAGCTTAGATGATGAAGAGCAATTCAAAGTTTCAAGATAGTCGCTGAGATGGTTTTGGCTCAAATCAAGATGTGCCAAGAAAGACATATTAAGTAGAGAACAAGGAATGATTCCGGAAAAGTGATTATAGGAAAGATATAAAAAAGAAAGCTTGGTTAAATTAGGGAGAAAACTACCGGTGAGCTTGTTGTTTGAAAGGTCCAAGTTGGTTAAGCGACTGAGATTACCGATTGAGGGTGGAATTTCACCGACTAAGTCCATAGAAGAAAGATCCAAGACCTCTAAGTTGGTGAGTTTGCCAAGTTCGGCAAGAAATGAGGACGAGCCGAAGTGATTGAAAGAGAGATCGAGATACCTGAGGTGGTGGAATCTGAAAAGGCTACTATTAGCATTGAGACTTCCACTGAGACATGCACCATGTAGGTCTAGTTTCGTCACTACACCAGTCTTGTTATCAAATCCAACCCCATCAAAAGAGGTAACGTTTTTGTTGGTCCAAGACTTTGTCACTGGTTTTGAGTAAGGCCACTCATTAAAGTTGCATTTGGTGATTGGAAACTCATTCTTAAAAGCCAGAAGGATCTCGATTTGGTCGGGACGAGGAGGAAATGGTAGAGAAACAAGACTGTTAACAAAGAAGTTGGAGAGAAAGACATAACACAAGAAATAGGAGAGGGAAGAAACAGGGAAACACGGTTTCGCCATTTGAAACAAAACAAGAGACTGAAGAAGAAATTTTGTAAGATTTGGTTTTTGCAACCAAGCAAGTTTTAACAATATATAATGATGATAAGAGTCAAAAGTCACATTGCTTGACTCTATAATTGTTGAAAGTTTCCACTTTGGCTATCGCTCACATTTATTCCACAAGATCACTAGTCCCCTCATATAATAAATAAAATTGTGGAATTTCCACAAAGGAGAAATGTAGCAACCAATTATTCGTCAAAATACCAACTTTTATTTCTTGGTTTCAAAGTATATAACTTTGGACGTGGATTTCTTGACATGACAAAGTCGAATATACTTAATACAAAGAGGTTTGGTTAACTATGCAAGTACTGTTAAAACCTCGTGGCTGCGATCAGGGAGCCACAAGGATTCTGAAAAGAATACTGTTCTGTTTGGATGGTGACTTAGGTTCAGTGTATACTCCTGATAGAAATTGTATAGCCACCCTCTACAATATTTTATACAGAGACCTTTGTTCGGTTATCGAAAATGGTTGGAGACAAGTATTTTCTTCTACAGTTTCAGGATGATTGATAAAAATAATATAGAGTAGAGCAGAATAATAACAAAGCCTTGTGTGCTTTCTCTAGCATGTTAAATTTAAAGAGAAGACCAAATTAAACTGGATAAAGTACCAAAGAAATTTCATACATCAAAATCTGCTTCCATCTCAAGAAAAAAGTCCCATCAGCTAGTCAGAATCCCAACCATGATCCGAGAAGCGCAAGCCAAAGCCAATTTCAATCGAGGTTGATTCATTTGTAGCTTGGCATGATCCCTAATACAGAATTAAAGAAAGAGATGTGATTAAGACACAATGGTAATAATAAAAGACAGTGCAAGAGTAAAATTTATTTACCTCTTCTTCAAACTCCATGATTCACAGGATTAGGCATAGACACAAATTTTTCATCATGGGGTATATCATTAGAGTCATGACTTGAATCCTTAGTAACAAGTGTAGTATGCTCTTTACTATCATCCAAGCTGTACAAAAAAACATTATAAATATACGATAAACATACGAAACCTAATTTAGATTATTGAGCAAGTTTCACTACCTGGTTTCAAAATCTGTATAAGAGCTCCACTTTGATTTCAAGACAGGTGTAACAGAGTAACTCTGCTTCAAAAGAGATGGAGATGGCTTCAATTGCTTATGGATCGGAGAAAGCTGATCTTTGAGAAAACCAGAGACGGCTTTATCGAGATCCCAGTTAAAGCATTCGAGGAAGAAGAATGCTGATTCTCTGGGCTCAGAAGTTGCCTCGCAGAAGCTCGTGATCGGATCATCCGTAGAATACTTGGTCTTCATTGTAAGGACTTGTTAGAAGGAAATTTTTTTCTTTTTTGTTATTAAAATTGGCTTATTATATAAAGTTTCTAACAAACATCTGTTGATACGGTCTAAAGACCCAAGTTAATATAGGAATTAG